GCATATAAACTATATTTATATATTGCAAGAGAAAACTATAAAAATATATAAGCTTGTATTTAAAATAAATAAATAAATAAAAAATTTAATTTAGGACAATTAAAAAGAAAAAAGTAGCTAAAAGTAGTTAAAAGTTAAAATAAAAAATAAAACTTAAGTTATACTGCATAACAATTGATATATGTTTTAACATTTGTAATCATGAAACAAATTTTATATTAATATTATAATCAATTTCTCCAAGAAAATAATACAAAAACGTTCTTCAAGTGTAGAGTCCTTGGTAAGCAACCGCCGACTCATGCTCAGCCACCTGTTGAAAACTTTGGGAGCTGTGCTGGCGCGCAGATATGAAGCAGGGCTTATGTGGCGAGCCTTTGGTTTTCATCTAAGAGTTTGAGTAATTGCCACGTACGCGGCGGGTATTTAACTTTTAATTGAATTTGATCGAATGCATGTGATAAAATTAATTGAAGAGGCTCACTGAAAACTCAGCTGAACGAACTGCAAGAACTAGGAGCACACATGAAATGTGGTAGCAAAAGCTGCGCTGTGTCCACTTGACCAAAAGTTTTTAATTGACTTTTTAGCGTTAAATTTTGAGCAGCACGTAAAAAGGACGAAAAGGAGCCGAGGCTGGGGTCGCTGGCTAGCAACTTTTTGGGGCACAGTGCGTTGGTAGATGTCAAACGAAAATGGCAGAGAGAGAGAGAGAGAGAGAGAGCGGGAGCAGAGTCGAGGTCTCTGTTCGCCAGGTAATTGATGTTGCCAATTTGTGTTCCGTCCAAAAACTTTGTTGTGTAGTTTGCGGTGTTTCATTAGCGGTTTCTGTTTGGCAAGCGCCAAATGGCAAATGGCAACTGGCAGCCGTCATTTTTGTTGTTCTTGGTTAGCATGGATGAGCTTTAAGTATGGCTGCTGGCAGAGCTTCTGAGCTGCAGCTAATTTGATTTATGACTTATCAAACTGTTGAAGTGGCGCTCATAGTCGCTTCATATTCCGTGATAAATTACGCAACAGCCAGCCCCAGCACTGTGAGTGCAACAGTGGGACAGTAAATGGGCAAATGCCCCTCTATATAAAACGGTAGCTCGTAAACCTCAACCGCAAGCTCGAGCAGCCTCAAAGTATGCTACGCAAATGGCTTCGGCAATTTATGAAAGAAACCTTTTTGCCAGCTTAAGGCAAATTTCAGGTATTTCTATGAGTGCGCAAAACCTGAACAAACGACCTGACAAAGCGGATGTGGCCAATTTCAGCATTTTCATAATTTCCGCTCGAGTTTGTTTTGCTTGCGGTTAGAAGTATTTGGCAAAAGACGTCGACGCCGGCGCCGCTGCTCGAGCTACCCAAAGTCTTGGCTAAAGTCTGCCGAGCTGCTTCCTTTTCCTGTTCCGCCGCAACATCGAAAGTAAAGCTCGTTTATTTACGGTTTAATAAGTCTCGGTTACTTTGCCATAAAGATAAAAACAAAATAAAATAAAACAGCTTACGACAAATAAAATATAAATATGAAGCCATGAACGTTAGTAAAACCTTCCTGAAACCTCTCCAGCTCCCACAAGCTGCGCCCACACACACACACACACACACACACACACACACACACACGAGCCATATATCTAAGCCGTCTAATTCTGATGCGGGCTGCTGATGTTATGAGTCTTAAGGCTTAAACACATCAAAAATAAACATCATTACAATAAATTTAAAAAGAGCCTTCAGCTCGGATTACGGGCTTTTCTATGGCAACAGGAGCTGATTTCATCAAAGCAGCTGAGAACATCAAAGCAAATTGGGAGACAAACAAAAACACTTTCGTTCAATATGTGAAGATGATACTCTTTTAAGCACACAGTAGCCTCAAATTCTTATCAGTTATATATTTTATAAAATATCAGATTTTGCAATTATGGCTACATTTTTCGAGAAATACTTGAAAGTTATATATTCAATAAGAAAATAAAAAAAATTGCAACAAAGTTGTAATATAAAATATCCTAAAAATCGAAAAAAAAAAATTGAACCAATTTCTTGAATTTCAAATTAAGAGATGTTGTCTTTATATTTTTTCATTTATTAAAACTCTTATTACAATTTCTTTTGAATTGTATTAGTATTACTTCAAAGACTTTAATTTTTAAGGATTAAATATGCAGTTTATTGCTTATTATAATTTTTTTTTTTTTTTCTTTTTAATTTTTTTGTGAGAAAATTGCTGACAAAAATGCCAAAAAATGCTGATGTAAATTATAAAAATATTTGATATTAAAGACAGTCAAGAAATATACTATTGATTCAATTTGAGTGCAAAATAATGATTGCCCGAGCACATTAATAAAAATCAGCAAACATTGTCTTTGAGGCCGTAAAGAGGCTCTTTGAATGCATGGCACATTCAGTGCTCAAAATTATAATACTCCCTGCAAAGGTAGGCCGCTCTATAGGTAGATGGGTAGCCAGAGAGAAAGAGAGAGGGAGTGAGATATGTACATTCGTACTGAAGCCGCTCTGACATTAATGTATGCAAATGCGATGCCGTTCAGTTTACTTTGATTATGTTGTCTGGCTGTGTATTAATATTATCCTTTTTGGAGTAACTTTACACTGTGCACAGGATATGATTTGCATAGCTCAAATAATTTTGGATCGCAGGGGATTGGCATGTAAATTTTATTTCATTTCATTTCATTTCTGGCTGTGTCTCCGWGTTGGCAAATGATTTCTCGATTTATGCGCATTCGCGTTGATTAATTATTGATTTCGAGATTTGATTGGACAAAAAATGATTAATGCTCCAGTTGAGGCGTCTCAAATTTCAATTTCAGAACAGCTGTAACAAAAGGAGGATGGGCACCACACCAACAAAGTGGGTGCTGCCCGGTTGACCGGCCTCTGAGGACACAGACCGCAACTAGTCAAAACTGGTTAAAGGACCTTCGCGAAGCGGGGCGTGTGTGGACAGCATTGATAAGTTGGCAAAACTCGCTAAATGAGTACAAAATTGCGCGCAGGCGCAGAAAATTTAATTAAAACGAGAGCTGCGCACCGGCGCACCCCAAACAACCCCTGAAAATAAAAGAGTTGGCATCGCGTCAAAGAACTCCGACTGACAGGCCAACTGACGCAAGTTCATCAATTTCTGCTGACGTGCCACTGCCACTGCCACTGCTGCTCCTGCTGCTGCTGCTCCTGCTGCTGCTGGCAAATACAATTCACGCAATTAGACACACAAGCCGCATTAGCATGCCAAAAGCAACACAATTGAATAAGAGATATATATACATATGTATATATGTAGTTTTTTTTAAATATTTTGTTCATTTTGTGTGAAGAGGGTGAGATACACGGAAATATGATTTGAAATTGCAGATAGTATAAATCAAATCAATGTTTCATAAACTAAGTAAAACATGATCTCAGTCCATGATTCTTTATATTAGTATCAGAGGCAAGAAAGGTAAGCGAGTTGAGTTTGAAAATGTGATTTCGAATCGTAGGGAATTGGCATGTAAATTTCATTTTATTTCATTTCGTTCCAATGCATTAAAATATTCCAAGGTA